GCCACGTGTCCGGGTTGAAAATGTCCAGCTCTCCCGTGCGAAAGCGACCCGCCGTCCCATTCCCGAAGGTGGCCGTCGCACTCAGCACGCGCTGGCGATGACCTTGGGGACTGGTCGAAAGCCCATTAAAGGCTCCTTTTGATCGACTCCTAAGGCTCCAGTCGTGCCTCCAAACCGGTTCGGTATGTACTGCCCCGGTCGTCGAAACCGAACCGAAACGGTTCAGGAGCATCCTGGAGCGCTTGGGAACAGGAGCATCCTGGAAATTCGAGTCTCAGTTTTGGGGCTGCCATGCTAAGAAAATTGGGCAGCCCCACTCGAGACTCTAGTGGTTTGTAGGAAAGAGTGTTTTTCTCTCGTCCGTGGTGTGTATCCTCCCCATCTTGAGAATGAAGTCGCCATCCACGCCGTCGATTCTCTATGATTGGTTTTGTTTCTCGGCCTATACATTTGCCCACACACTCCATGGGACTGCCATAGGACTGCCGACCCATTGACCCCCCTGGCACCACCCCTGGCCTGATCGGCATATAGTATATATATATATATGGATATGGCCCTATGGCATACCAAGACAGGTTGAGAGACCATATAGGACCCTGTAGTGGTACAGATGGGATGGGCTATAGGGCTGTCCACCTCTCTCGGTACATGGAGCGTCTGGGGGTGCAATTAAAAAATTGGACTTCTGAGCGTCGAGAAACTTTCTGCCAAGAGATCAGTGCTGAGTACTCGCCAGCCACGAAGCAAAGCCACCATAGAGGCCAAGCCGGTTCCAGCGCCCACATCCAAAAATGTCATAGCTTCCTTGGATTTCTATGATCATGGGAATGATGGGTGTTGCTCAAGTCGGCCACTGTTGTATTATGCATTGGGTCTTCCTGCGGGCCACTCTTTTGTTTTGGTTATTTAACTGTAACGTTGTTTACGCGTGTCCGGGATGGTTCCGGAGACAGTTCTGGAAACAGGCACACCAAGAACGCATCGCGACAACATAACCGATCGCTGGGGTCTGTGGTTTGTAGAAGTCCTGTGGTTCAATGGAGTTCTGGCACAATGAGAAAAGAATTATCAGCAACAACAAGCTTCATTGAGATTCTCTTCTTCACTGAGCTCCGCCAGCACCTGTGCCAGCGCATAACCCGAAGGCCACAGCAAGCCAGCGCCTGACAACAGCGGAGAAAACCATGCCGACTGAACACATCGACCGAATCATGGGAGGGCATTGGATTCCTTGGCTTATCTACTTAGCACTTCCTGTCCGGGTGCCCTGGAGTAGGAGACCTGTTGACGTAGGGTCGGGTAGTCGAATGCCAGGACACCCAGGTCCAGGATGATCCGATCGTATGGGTGTTCTGAAGCGTGCTCCGGGTCCCCTGTCTGCTCGTTCGTGTCTGGACGGAAAGTCTGGTTTGTCTGGTCGCGCCTGTGTTAATGGAAATGTCGAAGCGCGGAAAGCTTCGACTGAGCTTTGGCTTACCAGCATGCTCTGCCAGGGTCTCACCCCACCAGTTCAGTGCAGAGCCTTGAAGTAATTTGATATGGTAGTTTCTGCCAGACCTCCTCTTTGGATTTGTTGGATAGAAGCCGAGAAATAAAAGGAACACAAACAGGCGATTCACCGGTAAGAGGGGGAAAAAACAAATCACCATCAAATCACTCTGAGCCAAACCAAGTCCTGGAACGAACCCGAATGTATAGCACGCCCTTGTTGTACCAGGGCAGGCCGCCTTCATCCTGGGCCCGTCGGCGACTCCACGTGATGCAGCAAAACGTTTTGAAACCATGCAAATGGCTTGTGGATTGCAACCCTCGGCCCAGAAAAAAACATCATCATGGTGCCTTCTGTTTTGCAACCTCCTTTGTCAGTCTGGACCAATCAAGCACAACACAATGAAAACATATATATATATTACATTACATATATATAGTAATATTATATAACCCTGCTTGCCCAGGTTCGTGGTTGTCATTCACCTGGCAGCACTGCCAGTATGTCCTGTCAAGGCAGCCCGCGTGTGCCACTTCCAGCTCACCCTTCTGTCCAATCATTCGCCACACATGCCGCAAAACGAAACGGAAGTCGCAGCACTGCTTGAACTCCTAGGGCCGGCATGGGGAGCACGGAAGACAGACTCATAGTGGAAGGAACGTGGCACAGTGTGGGACCTGAAGACTCATCTCCTTTAGACTCAGGTCGTGCCCTAAGGATCCAGTCGTACCGTACCTCAGGTTCGGTACGACTGGACCCTCCAAGCATACATAGCAGTGTCTCCACACATCACCGGACCTGAGGTTCGGTAGGAAAACGGATTCCTATAGGGAGTGGAAAAGGAGAGTTGACATGGAAGTTTCAGAAGACGAAACTGCAGTGGTTTCCACTGAGCGGACAACGTTGTCAACTGAGACAACGTTCAAGCCGCCTGTGGGCGTCATATCGCCTGAAACCCGTGTTGCGTCGGAAAATCCCATCGCCCATGGATTGGCCAGGTGTCCAAGGGATGTGGGGCGTAGGAATGAAGACCTCTTGATCAATAAACCATCCCAAGCATGGATTGAAAAAGCTCTTCATGTCAGGGCATTCTTCATCAAGAGTCTATAGTCATTCAGGAGTATATATATATATAGTCATAAGTATCAAAGTTTGATCCATCCAACCATCTCCCAAGCGACCCATGCCCTCCAGCTGCCGCCCAAAGGCTACTGCTCTACCATCTTCTGCGATGCACTTGTCCCCTCTCGGGATCTCCCAGTCACCCGTCAAGCGCAGTGGAAGCTCCGCAACGGGGCTGCGAGCAGCGCTGGGAGAGAGCACCAACAGCACAACGCCCACCGCGAACATGGGCGGTGCAGTTTGCCGCTCTATCCCCCATTGGGCCACATGATGTGTTCGTTGGCCACGGCAGGGTTCCAGGACAAGTTTCGAGCTGTGGATTCGATTTCATTCCAAGAGTCGTTGGAAAATAACTTTTAAAGAGCATCATCACCACCCAACATTCGATTGTACAGTGCATGGGACAAAGTAGTCTTGACTTAATTCATCACATTCAACTCTGTTGTCCTTTGCGTGTGGTCTTGCAAAAGCTTGCCCTTTGACATCCTCTTCGCTCCTCCAGAGATCACCGAAACAAGCAGCTGCGGCTCACATCTCTCCGAACCCTGGGCTGATCCAGTCAACCGTGGCTTTCGTCCTCTTCGAAGAGCTGGAGAGATGCTGCCCCAGCGCAGTCGCAGTTCCCCCCGTCCCAGAAAAACAACGCTGGACTTGGCAACGCTGAAGACTGATGGGAGGTCTTTAAGAACGTGGCGATGACGGTGGCCCAGTCGTCTTCACAAGCAATCGATCTGCTAGGTATCCAGTCGTACCGAACCTCAGGTACGGTGAGGAAGGAGACACTGTTTGGTAGGTGCCAGGAGGGTCCAGTCGTACCCTTAAAACCAAGAGCCGTCGGAACATGTTGGAACATGTTGGAACAACAGGGCATCTTAGTGTCAAAGCTATTCTCTCAATACATCATTTTGTCGACAACTCCGCTGGGGGCACGCCAAGCTGGTGTCATCTTGAATCCCATGTTTCGTCCCAGCAGCCCAAGCGACCAAGCAAAACATGCCCCCAATAAACATGACAGGAGAACAAGCACCATCCTTCCTGCGAGCAAAGAAGAAGGAGGGCGTTGAAGGAAGGAATACTATTTGCAATTGTATCACTCAGCTGCGAGCATGGAATCCCACTCGTTGCCGAGTGTCATACAACTCGCCATATTTTTTTTACATGCAACTCGGCTTTTCATATATACACACGTGGGAAAAGACCCACATGGAACCTGAAGATGAACCTTTGGAAGACCGTTTTTCCTCTACAACCCAGTGGTTTTCAGGTTCCATGTCATTCTTTCTAGGGAATATAGCTGATTGCTGCCTCTTCTTCTTTCTCGAGCGGCTCTTCTTCTTCCGCTTGGCCTGCCAGAAGCAGCTCACAACTGGTGAGTGAGGGTGAGAAGATTGGAGAAATTGGTGAGTCATTATCAATCACTCACCCAGCACTCCATGTATGGCGATGTATGGCATATTTACATCGACCTCAGGTCAAAACCACCCCAGTGTAGTCCTATGCCAGTCCCATTAGCCGTGTCTGGGTCATAATCATACATGTCTACGTTTGGACACCATGAAGGTGACGTTCCAGCCTGGATTGCCTGAGGCAGGATATGTTGCGTGACGGGTTTTCCAGCCTTGGGCTCCGTTCCTAAGCTTTCTACACGGCGGCTGCATGTCTCTCTTGTCAGTGCAGCTTGTTTAAAGTAAACGATGGACGAAATACGCCAGATCTGAACAAGTAGTCCAATCCCATGTCCGGCGGGTTCATTAACCAAGAGTCTACAAGACCCTGGGTCCAACAATCTATCCATGGCAATATTCGGCATCTCCTGACCCCACAAGGTTTTGTTGATGCTGCACTTGAATTTCATTAAGTATCTTCAAAAGTTAGTTGGGACAACAAAACGTCTCAGAAGCCAACCTGTGCATCTTCCTGAATCCTTCAACTTCAACTCATGATCTATCCAACCAAAACCTCAAAATCCCTTCGACATTTCCCAAGCCCAACCAAAAAATCCTGAACAGTTCCCAAAACCTTTCCCCCAAAATCTGAAAATTTCCCAACCAAAAGCGCCTCCGCCAAACCCGAACCGCCCCAACCCGATCCGCCTCCGCCTTCTTCTTCTTCTGACGCCGTTTCTCCGAGCTGCTGGACTCTGAGCTGCTGGACTCCTGGACCGCAGCGAGCGATGGAAGAGCTCCGATAGGGAAAAAACCGAAGCAATAAGCCATGGTAGTTGGTAGTTGGGACTTGGTAGTGATGCGAGACATCATGGGATGATGTCTCGCATTTTACACGAATCTTTATGGTGGAGTGCTGCTGGAAGATGTTTGTGTTGGCAACAGTTCAAAAAGACCTTAGACTCACTGCTTAGACCCGGAGAAAGTGTGGAATCTGAAGAGGAGTCCTGTTCACCGGGTTTGGGGGACGTCGGCCGCTGGGACGATGCAGGTGATCATCGTTCTCAACGGCGCTCTCATTTTGGTGCCTCACGCCGCACGCAGCGCACGATACTCGGAGGAGACACTCTCCGTCTTGACAGGCCGCTCGGAGCGACAGCAGCGAAACGTCAAGGTCAGAAAGGCCATTGCCAGGGCCAGGAACAGAAGGACGAACTCGGGCAAGGTCGGGGGCTGGTTCCACCTGCCGGCAGTTGATGAGCAGTATGCTATTTGGGTCAAAGAGTAAATAAACACAAAATATTTAGGAGTGTCAGTTTCTTTGTCTGTGAGTTTGTGGGGCTATTCCTTATGCTGGGACTATTCCTGATTTTGCTGGGACTATTCGATCAGTATGTCTGGAACTATTCCTTATCTTGCTTGGGACTATTCGACTTTGCTGAGGCTACTTAATATTGTGCTGCTTTGACAATATCTATAAGTTATGAAAAGCTAAAACGAGTATGTGGAAGAACGGTAGAATGTATAAATCACAGATATGAACAATTTTAACAATCAAAACTGTAGTTCAAGAGTGCGGACATGTCTCAATGTGCGGACCCCGTGACTACAAAGTGTTTTTCGAGCAACCACCCCCATGGCACTATACTCTGCTGACACCCGACGGACAAGAAAAAAGTGTCTATCTTACAAATATATATTAAGTAATCATATTGTACGACTATCTTGCAAAGACTCTGGCTTTCTATCTGGGATACATTCTAGCATGCTATCTGGCATTCTATCTGGCATATTTTCTTGACTTTTTCTGGCATTCTTTCTGTCTGGTTTAGGTCCGGTAGTGCGCACTGCCATCTGGCACTCGCGGTTGAGGCCCAGTGGTGCCCTGATTGGAGCGCTTGCGGTTGAGGTCCGGCGGTGCCCACTGCGATCGAGCGCTGGAGGAAAAGGAAAGGACAGCTCTGATAAGATCTAAGACTCGCTTGCTAGGTGGAAGAAACATGATTTGTCTATAGGATCTTGGGCCGGCAAGTCTTGGGCCTCTTCCCTTGGCTTCCTGCCTCTCCGTGGTACTTAGAGATCCAGTCGTCCGACGAGCCAAGCCGATCCTCGGGGTGCCGAACTTCCCGCCGTCGAAAATGGCCAAAACGCTGCGGAGGAAGGTGTCGCCCAGGATCACCGGTAAGCCTTCGGGCAACTGTTGGACTTCCTGGCCAGCGAGGTGCGAGGATGACTGAAGGGATCGTAGTTGTGGATGCCTCTTGGATCAACATGTTCAAGAGTAGTGTTCACCATGCCTCAAGTATGGTTGATGGTGCATGAGCTAAGTTAACAACTAAGGTCTGCAATGAACAAACATTTGGAATATGTTCCTGGCCAAAAGGCGGAATCCACAACAAAATCCTATATCTATATATATATATATATATATGTGCGAAATGCGGATGGATCCTTCTCATGTAATGTCAACATAGGATTGCAGTAATGAACCCTCCTATTAATCAAGCCGAGCTCAAGCCCCCAATACTAAACTAATTTAACACCTAGATTTCCACCTTTCCTGGCCAGAACACCCCCCCATATTAATCAAGCCCAGCTGCACCAGAAAAACAACGTAGTTGGTTCACGGTTACGCGTTTGATTGTTGTTATTTATTGGCATGGCTCTATCTACCATACTCAGAGCTCTCATGGTTCTCATGGTTCAAACTCTCATGGTTCACACAGAATCCCATCAACCATCATCCAGTCCACGTCATCATCTCATCATCCATTATCAGGTCATCACCTTTATTAGGGGGATGTGGTCCTCCAATACCTCCAATCTTAAACCTTGTTGACCTTGAAGGGGGGGACTCCCCCGTTGACTGATCCGACGTCGACATTATTATGCTTCTCCAGCATATCTCCTTGGCCCAAAAATGAAAACCTTAAACCCTAGGGATCCAGTCGCACCTTCTCGGAAGGTACGGCTGGACGATCCTGGCACCTACATAACAGTGTCTCCAATCATCTTCTGAGAAGGTGCTTGGATCCCTAGGGAAAGTTCTTGGCATCCAGCAACATTCCTGGTTGATCTGGATGTTGGAGCAAAATGACATGGCAATGTGCGTTGTTGCACGAGCCCGTTTGGTCTGATGCCCCAGAGAAAAAGGACTATACACATCTATCCTGCCCAGGTGCCAAAACACACCAGAAATCATCCGATGGAGTCAATAAACTCGAAGACGTCATTTCAAAGATCTCCCCCTCCACCAGCACACCCACGTGGTGCATCTGAGGGCCGACGTCGCAGGGGCACATGAAGAGATTTCCGGAGTTCAGGTAACATCTCTCAGAAGCCTCCGGCAGCATCCGTCGCAGCAAGCGCTCTTGCATGGATGAGGAGACGGCAATGAAGGAGGTGCCCGAATCCTGAGTGCGTCCCTGTCGGTGCCCGAAAAGGAACAAATGTGGGTCCATGAGGATCAATGGCAAAACACATTCTCAGGTCGCAGGCTGCTTGACCAATCAGGTTCAAATCTGAACCTTGGGAAACAGGGCATTGGTCTTCTACAAAGGTACGAAGCCAAAAAAACGTCGCATGCGGGGACCCTTTTGGGCTCTCTAGACCACTCCAGGACCCAACAGAGGTTGTTTGTGACCTGAACTAGGACCCGTCACCTGGGGTACCGAACTAGGATAGCCTAGTTCTTGTTCTGACGCACCTCTGCTGGACTAGGATTCCAAGAGTCCAACAAGAACTCCCCACTGAGAATGGCGTGCTTCTTCACCACCAGCTCCCCCTGAAAGGACCACCAACGGTCCGGAGAGCTGGAAGGAGTCCATCGTAAGGAGGACGTCTGATACCAATCCTCAGCTGACTCCAGTGTCGGTTCTGACTGATGGGTTGAGGTGGCTGAGGTTCTTCCACCGAAGTCCCAAGACCAACTGTTTTTGTGGACCCACTTGGAAGTGATGAGGAAGTGATGTGTCAGCCACGTTCGGAACCACCTGATGGTTCAAGGCCCATCAGACCGTGTCTTTTTTGGACCAACTGAATGTAAAGGAAAGTCCCTTCAACATCGGGTCATTCTGACCATTCTTTTTACTAGTAATATAGGCTGAGAGACACCCAGGGTGGGTTAAAACTATAATATGGGATATACAAATGTGCACCTCGCTGATGTTCTTTTACCTCTCCAAAAAAATCCGCCATAAAAAAACCATGAGAATCATCCAAGAAAGTATACAGCGCCCGAGCAATGACTCAGAGTCCGTTCCTGGCATGCCCAGGATGAAGAAGGATTCAGCATCGGGACCAGAAAGGGCGAAAGCGAAGCGGTCTATCCCTTGCCTTAGAATCGGTTCAATCGTCAGCCTCAAGAAGTCTCACCAAATTAAATCATGTTCATACTACGAGGTATCAATACTGCTATATAGTTTAAACATGTTTGATTAAACAATTTTAGGATTCATGTGAACAAATATGGCCTACATTTGGTGTCGTTCTTGTGGTGAACATGTGGTTTTCATGTTGGTCATATTTGCCATGGATCGTCTGGGATATACATGGATCGTGTGGGATATATCGATCTTTAATGAATCAAGGAAGAAACGGGTCGGTCCTTTGATGTCCCCCATGTCCCTACGACTCAAAATCAGGGAAGCCTGGGCCTTGCAAGCTCGGCCCAAGCATGGTCCAAGCATCTGGAATCGTTGGAGTGTGCGGGTGAAAACTCGAGTTGATGGGACAGTAGCTGTTGCAACAGAAGGAAAACCTGATAAGACGTTCACCAAGTCACCCTTCAAGGTGCTGCAGGAAGGTCATTCCTGTGTGGCTCAAGCCAGGCATCGCCAAGCCCAGCACTCCATCAGCCACCACGCTAGGCATGGAGCCAGCAGGCACCAGCAACATTGACTGGGAAGAACACCTGGCGCCAAGGTAGCTGTCAAAACAACCCTCTCTGTTCGTCTTGGCTTTGGGAGTGTTTCTAGTGGAGAACTCAGATGTGTTGACGATTTACCTCCTGGAGCAGGGCGAACCATGCTGTAAGCCTAGTAGTGCGCTAGTGCGGGAACCAATTTGCCTTATGACTTACCAAGCCAAACATGGCTGTTTGGTCCAATGGCGATCAGTTGCCCAAAAGCGGCCCAGCTCGTGGTCCCTCCGTGTGCCGGTCGGATCCGCTCCCCGAGCCGCTCGCCACCAGCAGCGGATGGCGGATCCCTGTAGTACTGTAGGCGTTTTTTCTGCACACGCACTGCCGCACTGCCATCAAATCTCAAGCACTGCCATCTACTCTAACCGCCGTCACGATCCCGAACCCAGTGGTTTGAACACCGGGTGGGTTTCGACGTTCCGATGACCTCCCGGACGTGGTTTTCGAGGTCCATGTGGTCCGAATAGCAGGGGAGTATGTTCACACTTCCTCCCATGACTTGGATTTCTTCAGTCTGAGATGATTCACCCAGCTCTGAGCCCCTTGACAAAAATCCGTACTGCGTTGCTCCCGTGACCCATGGAACTCCGTCCTCCAGCTCCCCAAATCCCCACCTCGCATCGCATAGTGTGATCGTCTCCTGGACGAGTTTCCCTTGCAAGGGCACCTGTCCTTGGACTTGCTGGTGAAGGCGGCAAAATGCGACAAACATGGTCCAGTGGAAGTGGAGGAAACCCATACATACCAGGACCCCCAATTATGGCGGTCATCATTAACCCTATCTTAACCTCTTTTCGAAGCTATACATGGACAACCTGATAGGGAACATCAACATAGGGATGGCACTAAGGGTTAAAGCATCCAAAAGCAGAAAGTAAAGCCTACCTAGCACTTCCTGTCCGGGTGCCCTGGAGTAGGAGACCTGTTATGACCTGTTTACGTAGGGTAGGGTAGTCGAACGCCAGGACACCCAGGTCCAGGATGATCCTGGTAGGACACGTATGTCTGGACCTGTAGGGTAGGTTAGTCTATTGGACACCCAGGTCCAGGATGATCCTGGGTATACATCAACAAACCCACCGGACGCCTCCAGCACCAAAGCGTCCACCGTAGACCACCGACGCCTCCGCCTCCAAATCCACGAAGCTGCTGGAGTCCGCCGCTGCGAAGACGTCGCCACGCAGCCAGAGGTCCGAGGAGCCCGTGTCGAAGATCACCTCGACACCAGGTTGGTTTGTGACCTGGGTCTGAGGACCTGGAACACCAGGCTGCTGGGTGTTTTCAAAAATATGAGTCAAAGGGTCCAATCATCCCCAAGTAAGGGTTGAAACATATCCGAAACCATCACCTAGCAGGGGTACCGAACGTTCGGATAGTCGAACTACGTCGGGTTCTGACCCACCTCTAGACTCTAGCACGGCGCGGCACGGCCCATGGTCCGAGGTTCCCTGTCGAAGAGGTTCTGCCACAGGATTGACCTACCCCAAACACGACGTGTCTGGAACTGCCGGACTGCCGAGAGTTCCGGCCAGGGGTGGTTGAATGGCAGTCCCAGGTTTTGTCTGGGTATAGTGGGGTGGTGGATGACCTCGGCGTCCATGTAGATAAAGCAAATCCACACGTGGAGTGTCTAGGGCGTCCATGACCTATATCCCATTCCCAGGCTTCAGTGGACGATGATGCAGGCGGAGATCACGTTACGTTACGTTACTTCGAGTGACCCCCACCATGGCATTATACTCTGCTGATATCCGGCGGCTATAGTGCTGCAACATCAACACGGAAGTGTCTATCTGGCATATATTTGGGCATGCTATTAGCATACATTATGACATTCTATCTGGCATATGTTCTAGCATTCTATCTAGGATATCTTATGATATATTTAGGCTAATGTTGGTATATTTTCTGGCATTCTATCTGGCACACATTAAGGCATTCTCTCACGGCACATTTTCTGGCATTATTTTGCTGGTAATTATCCAAACACTCCTTCTGCAATGAGCTCTTGACAGGATACCTGGATCTTCTATTTTGCCGGATGCATTTTTTGAGTGAAAAAAGGCCGTCATCAAACAAAAACCGTTTTGCTGGATGTTAGTTTTACTGGGGCACGCCAGTGATGAGCTCCCAAACAAGGACGGACCAAAACGACCCCAAAACTGCTGGGAACCTCTCTGGGAGCCCAGAAGGGTGGCGGTGGAGTGGTGATGCTGATGCTGTGTTCGGCGTGTCTTTTTCCGCATGTTCTGGACCTATAGGAGCAATAGATGGTGCTAGTCCCGCACCAAAAGTTCAAAATGTCCCGCACTTCACTTCACAGTAGGTCAACACACACACACACAGCTACAGCTATACCTGGATCCTCCTTTGGGCGGAAAAAAGTGCCGGACCTCAATCCGGCAAAATTTTCCGCCGGATTCCGAAAAAAACGCCGGAGACCTGAAAAAACATCCGGATCCAAGATTCTGAAAAACAGAGATGATAAAAGGTTGGATCATACACAAGCAAACTGCCTTTGCGCCGCGAGTAGTTTTTCTGGAGCACACTCGAACCTTCCCGTTCCCATTGCCCTCGCCCATCTTCCGAATGGCCTAAGAGCAGAAATCACAAAATATAAGCAACTTGTGCCCAAGCAAAGACTTCCAAGAAAAAACCAAGGAGTATGTGGCAAGGAACCCCTCTTTCTCTGCAACCGTGTCTCTCGTGTTTTTTTACAAAGTGGGTTGCTCTTCATGATTCTCATGCTTCTTAATGTTTCTTTAAAGCTTGCCTCAGGACGGCCCTCCAATAAAGTAGCAGAACTCATGGTTCCTGTCAAAACTCTTCTGTGAAAAACTGTTCACAATCAAAGCCTGCAGAACACTCAGTCCAACAAAAATACGCCGGAGTTACGGGAAAATACGCCGGAGTTACGGGAAATTACGCCGGAATTACGGGAAATTACGCCGGAGTTACGACGTGCAATTTTTTGACAACTCTCTGCAAAACATTGAAATTCTGAACAACACATGTTCCACAGCCCAAAACATGTCCGGCAGGCTCTGCAAACCTGCGCAGCTAGAACTATATCCCAGCGCCCCGACATCCTGAAACAATGGGAGTACTGTACATTTTTGCCTATGCTCTTTCAGCTTAGGTGCACCCACTTGGGTCTTTCAACAGGTGCATCGCACTGTACCGGCTTCATCCGATTTCATTTAGAAGATCAGCTAAACGGATCTGATTGATCCAGTGTGAACCATGCTGAAACCGGTGGAATGAGAAAACAGCGGAACAGGCAAACGAGCACACTTTGCAAACAAAATCGTTGCATCAGTAGTGGGTTTAACTTCAAAGAAAGCAGATCACAAAGAATGCAAAGCCTTGAGAATCCACATAAAGTGACTTGGAAAAAGCGCCGGACCAAATCCAGAAAAACGCCGGAGTTGGAAGTCCGGCGCCGGACCCTGCAAAAGTGCCGGACTGAAGATCTAGGTATATATATGTGTTTCATGGCTGTTCCATGCTTTTCCCATATATTCCTCATGAACAAGTAGAAAGGCTTTGACACCTCCCCCACCTCGAGGCTCTGCCCGGGCGTGCCAACGCTGATTTTGCCCAAGTATTGCGTGTTGGACACGTCTGTGAGCTGCTCCGTGCTCGACAGCAACGTGTTCCCGGTGGCATTGCGGGAACGCAAGTAGCGCAAAGCGATGACGCTCATGGCCAGGGTGGGAGGTGAAGTGAGAGTGTCTGCTAACTAACCCGTTTTTTGGGGGGTTACCTGGATCAGCTTTATAATCTTTATAAACCCTACACCTCCAGTCGTACCTCCTGAGGTTCGGTGTTTAGTCCCAACGTCCCGAAAACCGTTCGGTACGACTGGAGGCAACGGGGACTGGGCTTCTGGGCTGGAGAAAGTGGCACAGTGGACCAATCGATTCAGCGTTGACGTTCCTCCGTCCTCTTGCGGGTTCCTTTTCCCACCAGCTCCTCAGCGCACCAAGGAGCTGTTTGAAGGTCACTTCCGAGGTTCACTGCCGGTCTGACCCACTGTCTGGACATCTTTATACCCGACCATGGCGATTTTTGGACTGATTTGCGAGCCAGCCTGAACAGCACTGTGTTTGATGTAAGGATTTGATTTTATAAGTATAAAACATGTCCAGGTCTATTACGTCTTAATGGTCGAACGGAAGGACAGGGTCGAACAGTCGAACGGTGTCATGTCCACAATGAGGCCCAGCGGTCTGCGTGTTTCGCTCAGCCGAATGCCACGCTTTGCGGAACAACGGAGGCAGGCAGGTGAGCGGGTTTTTGCGCATGAACGCCACCATCGTGGTGATGGTTTTTGTCCCAAGTCGACGTGAACAGGTGTGGAGGGGTGAATGAAGGGTCCTCGTTTGTGTCCCTGTAGGGAGTCCTGAAATGCACAGCTCACTCATGTCGTCACATGTCCCTGTGCAGCCTGTAGTTGAAAACAAGCCCCCCAAATCAGCTCCAAACCAGGCAAACAATGACCCGAATTGAATATGAAGATGATCAATTTCGTCCTTGTGCGGCGTTTCGCTTTCAGGGCATGTCATCACCGAGACAACTATTCTGCATCGAATGCGAACAGCATCGAAGAACCCATGACAGGAGAAGCCTCTTCAAAGGAGACTTGCGTTTCGAAACTCCGTCAACTGTAAACCCTGTAGGGGCGCGGCTGGCATTCAGAATGTTTGGACTAGTCACAGGTTTACCTGGTCCACTTCTCTGTCTTCGATTGGACAAATGACTCCAACACCAAATTCCGGTCCTCTCTCTTCTTCTTGGACTTGGTCCGCTTGGACTTCTGGCGCGCCAGTTCGGTAGGGTCATTTGTGACTGGTGTTTACATGACAAGCAGATCCTCCATGCCGCAAGAGTGGGTTCAGGTTTCCTACCTAGCCAGTCTTTCAGAGGCAAATGATGCAAATCTTCAGCTCAAAGAACGTCTTCTGCTGCAAGACTTCAACGTTTCAATGGGTAAGAAAGAAAGCACAAAGACAGAGCATAGGAAACAAGAATATCAAATCTTAAACTTGGACAATCAAATCAAATGGACAATAACGCAAGGAGCCTTTTCCCTGTCTTTTTCTTTCTTGCGGTCCTTCTCCTTTCTCCTCTCCTGCCGAGAAAGCGCAAGAATGAATGAAGCGATATATAAGCATTTGCATAGCAGCACGTCCGATGGACGCTGCTCTCTCACGGGCACTACCTTGTCTGCTTCTGGCAAACCAGCCAACAGGTTGATCAGGTTCTTCATGTTCTTCACAAAATGACCAGCGTTCACCATTGTTTGATGGTGCTGCTCTCGTACCTTGTCTCGTTCATCCTCAGACTCCCCAGCATCTTCCTCCTTCTCAAGCTCCTGCAACGATGTGACAGGCCTCGAATCGAAACAACTGCAAGCTGAACACGCAAGCAAGCAAGCAGCACAACAGCATTCCAGGTCGCCAGCAGCTCTCCTCGACACAAAGAAAAATACCCAAACACTCCAAGATATTTGAAGCACCTAAAACAGCCTGAAATAAAACTATTCGCGAAATTTAGCAAAATATATTGGGTGGCTTCAGGGTAATAGGTACTGGTATAGTATAGGCATATATATGCCATACATAATACATATGCCAGCCCCATGGAGTCGACTGGAGAAACGCCTCGGTCATATGCTCTTGTTCCTCGATCCGCTGTCGCTGACGGTTGGAGACCCCGCCCTCCTCGTCAGATTCATCTCTCTTCGTGGCCTCAGGTCCAGTGAACCTTCCAGTCACTGGACAAGACGGGTCTAGCCCACAAAGCCCTCGCCGTCAAGACTGACTGGTGCGACTCGTAGGGAATAAGGGAATGAGCCCCCAATAGAGATTCTATTGGATTCATTCCCTCATTCCCTGCGAGTCGCACCAGTCAGAAGACCATTTAAAAAGATACATATGATTCCGTTTTTGTTGGTATCATTGTACTAGCTTAGGAGGACATGGGATTTAGAACACATACATGAGATCTGCCTGGCCTTCTCCCCTTGTGATGAATCCCATGTCATCAAACAAAAAGACCCAAAAAAACAAATAGTGCAAGGCATCGCCGGATTGCCCGTGCAACCCAATAGAAGGCTGCTCTTTATATCAACAAGTGACTTGGGATTGCATGATTGCATTGGGATTGAACTCAATACAGTGTATGACCAGCAAATAGAATATATAACCATAGTGTTTTGCGGACTTGATTATTTGCTCCGCGAGGCATAGCCGAGATAGAATAGTATATTACAATATATCGATTTTAAAATTGATGGTTGTTTGGTATCCCATTAAAGACCGTCTACGAATCTACGCGGGCCCGGAATCCAGGTGAAACCTCCCTCACTGTTGAGCCCCGACGTGCCTCTCTGCCACCGGACCAGCGGCTGCGCCAGCAGCCGCAGGTGGAAAGGGGGTCACCACTTGCTGTGTCATATTCAGGGTAATTATATGGCAATGTCATCCATAAAACCACGCCCACAGGCTGAAATCCGGGTATCGTATTATAGAAAATCCAGGTATAGTCGTATAGTATTAAAACACCACAGGTATTTGCATAAGTTGGAACATCCAGGTCCTTCAGTCTAGTCTGCGCCCGTCTTCACCCGGATGCTGAGGAGCTCACAGCGGTGGACCACTGCCACCTGAGGAACGATCCAAAGATCGCCCGATAAACCGAAGTGGCAGGGGGGTTTTCAGCGAACTCGACACCTTTTCCGTTCGGGATCCAGTCGTAGCTTCGTTTCGATGGTGGGACTGGGGTGGGTGCCTGGGTCGGGTCCAGTCGTGCCGTACCTGAGAAGGTACGACAGGATCCCTAGGGTTTAATGTGGTGGTTTCTCAGGGCGTGGTGGGCTGCCGTACTGACACCCCTTGGGGGGGGTTGAAGGACCCAAACATGCCCTTTGTATGTGTGAACTCTGAATGGGACCGGATTCGGGTGGGCGGTTGGTTCTGTGTGAGGGTGAACTCCAGCTTCTGCCTGGATCTCCCAACCCCCACAACCGACCACTGCATGGGATCGGCCGGTGTTGCGAAGCTTGAAAGCTCCAGCCTATGCACCGTTCCTTTCTATATATACCCAAGCACTCCTGGACCTATGGAGGGCTTGGACCCAACCCCTCGGGTCGGGAGCTTTCCCACCAATTCCGATCGCTTTTGAGGGACCTGGACAGGGCGTCGTTCACGGAGCGTCTGGGTACCTGTCCTTGATTTTCTGAATTCGGCGGAAGCATTCCTTCATGTGCTCCTGAAACGCTACTCTGCCTTCATTGATTTCATCTGTCTATCATTCCAACTATATGCCACCCTCCCGTCTGCTGACTCTGTACTGTATACACGGCTGGTGGGTAATCGGATCGGGCTTTCATGCTTGACATCTGCAGTGACTAGTGGTTGAAATATGTTGAAATGCATCTAGGGCTCCAGTCGTACCTCCTCAAAAGGTATCTGGACCCTCCTGGCACCCACCCCAGTCCCACCTTCGAAACGAAGGTACGACTGGAGCCCTAGGGCCCTTCAACATCTACAGTACAATCCCTGGAACAATTAGGAGTGGACAGTTTCCTCTTTGGTATAGGGATCTCATGGTCATCCGAAATCGTGGACATGCCATCCACGTTGGCCCATGATGATTCTAGGGAGTGATCTATTAAAGGTTATATAACCATTAGAGTCTATATAGAGTATGTTAAAGTAACAGTGCAAATTCAATGGTTTCACGTGGTTGCTTTTCCAGGTTTTCCATGATTCGTGCACAAAGGACCCTGCGAGTATCGCACGAGTATCCAGGGCCGCCGGGCTCTCCAGTGGCTTGAGCACCTGGTGGAACGTGGGATCAGAAGAGTGAGGAGCAGAAAAAAGGTCCAAACTGGCTAGAATTATCATTTACATCCCCCTGTACATAACAGGGTGACCTTGGACACCCAATTCTATAGCTATAAAAGTGGGGACGCGGAGTTTGGTGTTACAAAATGCTAGGACCTGGAACAAAAAGGTATCTATAAAATGAAGATATCTCTAGTGATGATAGAAATGGGGAGTCTGTTTCAAGTCAAGCTGAAATTGCTCTAGAGAATGCCTGGCCCAACCCTCAACCTCTCAACAAATAAAAAATACAAAACACTGAAAAACATTTTGTAGTGCACTCGTCTTGGATCATGAAAATATAGGGTCAGCTGATCCAAAAGGATCTTTGCCGGATGCAGCCATTGTTCACCAAAAAGTGCTTCCACTACAAAATGACTATCGTTCAAAAAGGCACCTCTACAAAATGACAGCGTGCAACCTTGCTCTTTGCAACACACTTGAAATGGCTTCCACTACAAAATGGATTTGGTATGACTTGGATCCAAGCAAGGCTCCACTATAAAATGTCCGCCCAAGCAAATGATGTCATCATGTTCATGCCAAAAATTGTCACTACAAAATGATGGTGGCTGGTGACATTTGTTCAATGTCTCTGAGCGAAACACTTAAATCACTACAACATGCAAGTACACGAGGTCATCATGGGACACGATTTTTATATAAAAAACTGATTTATATAGGGGCTCGAGCACTCCCATTCTGTAGTGGAAATGCACTGGGGGATTCATTTACCATCTGCTGGGGGGTCAATCTGTCTTTTTGGGGCGTCAATCAGCAACCCTTGTTCCAGCTCTAAGCGTCAAAAACTCCAAGTTCAACTCCCCCTCAGAAACCCCACTGCTGCAGTGGAACCTGGATCCAA